AAAATGTCATCAATAAATTAAATCGAATAACTAATTGACGGTGTAAAAACTTAGACCATCTTCGCAAATTATGCCTATTTATTATCTTAGCTAGAACATTTCGCACCATAATATTCATAACAGCGCTTCCTAGATACACAATAATGGTTATGAAACCGCAAAAACTTAACTAATGTTCATTCGACACGACAGTCTTGGATAAAGTGAAGATTATTTAACAATTTCGAAACAAATGGCGAACATTAATTCCGAAGAAACTATAAAATTGAGAAATAATTGAAGAATAAATAAATATTTGAGTAATACTTCGTCATAAAGAAGAATGTCACGCCTGATCGTGCAACATAGTCGGTGTTGATAGCATGATATCATTGACCACTTCTAGACCTTGTCACTCCATATAAAACAGTTTACAAATCTAAGAATGTGTTTACAATTCCAATGTTATCAAATGTATTGACTGTCAATATAACTCGGCAAGAATAGTACTTACCGTATACAACAATGCTTCTACTATTTACATACCTACTTATTTGCGATATACGTTAATAAATCACGTTTTGGTTTAAATTAAATCAATATTACATCACTAGCAATACAACCGCTAGTAATCGAAAACTATGAACATAATCTTCCATTCTTAGTATTCACTACAATTCCTTAAATTCCAATTTGCTCGATGAAGATATCGCATGTCGCCAAATCGATATTAATTAAAAGCGTTCAAACAATGCTGTCATTATTCGCTTCGGCAAAGCCGTCACGACGACCAATTGTCTCCGCAGTCCTCGCGCTAAGGCTCGCCCGCCACCTTTACTATATAGGCAAGGTATATTTTATTTCCTTGTGGTTTTCATTCATTAATTATTTCTTTGATAGTTCCCTTCCCCAAAGGGCATTTCAAATCGATAGTTGTTCGGTTTAAATGTACCTTTCTTCATACGTTGTGACATTACAGCTCACAGCAAGCTCATTACTCAGCGTATAATTATTTTATTAAAAAATGGATATGAAATAACGATAAGTCACGATGGATAATCTACTGCACGACAAGTGTAGAATGCAAGCGTTCACTCGCGGTCCCGTTAGTTCAAAGACCCAAATAACAATCATCATTGCAGAGGCACGTGAAACTTTTTAATTTAATCGATTACACAGACCCGATCGTTATGTGCAACACGTAACTAACACATGCAAGAAAAACCTAATGTGTGCAGTACGTTGCTTATTCTTTCTCGCGTGACAGTAATGGCGGAAAGTTAATTTACTTGAAATGTTTCTCACGGTGTGCACAACCGAGTCCAGACATTACTGCGATAGACATAATCGCGGGCCCATGAGTAACTTTTATGAAATGCTACGCTGAGATCGAGTGGTTTATTACCACACTTGTGATTACGGTAAATACCGGTAACCCCGCAAACGGGAAACAGCTGATGAGGACAATGATAATTTAATATATCTTTAGGAAATTGTCTCATGGGGATATTGCTAGTTCAGGCCAAAATACGTCGTGAAAACTGGGTACAATCTTACCTAGGTTGAGGCCCAGCGAGTGCTAGGTAGACGGAGTACTTAATTAAATCACGGTTGAGACTGTGACACCTACTCGCACTAGAAGAGTGAGTCACGATCACGAACATCTGGCGTTATGCAAGACTCGATAATAGCACGAGACAAGCAGACTAACGACAGTTTAATCTTTGTGTACTAACTTGCACAACCTGATGTACGTACTTGGTCTGTGACAAAAACCTCTATTTGCTGTGGGTTACTGGATGAGGACTGAAACTATAGACTTATTTGACTACACTGGGCATCAATTTTAGTAGAAAGGCAAAAAAGAAAAATAAGTTGTAATTTTTATTACCAAACTCTTCTTGAACTTTTAATTTTTACAGCAATAAACTGCACATAAATAAAGAGAGGAACATGAAAAAGCCGGGCCCTTAATAGAATACAAACAGTGTTCTATTTGTGGCCATTGTTTTGATCCGTAAATACAGCAGTCGGAACCGCGATGGCGCGGCAAGAGCAAAGCGAGTAACCAAAGCGAGCGTGTTCGTCGCGATTGGCAACGAGCGTGAAATGTGGGGCGACGCAGCTGAGCCGCTCACTAGATCGATACTTGATACGCACCGCGCTCTGAATGCCGTCGTGACCGGATTCGATGATTTATCCATGAGAGGCCAATTTTCTAAAAATAAAGGAAACCAAAACAACCACTCGAGAGCACCAGAACAACCGGTACCCGCGCTACAGTCTCAGCTATAAAAGGTGATGACCGAGTACGCCAACAAACATCCACTTGAATGATTTCATAAGTGCTTCATTGATGATTCACACAGCGGCTAAACACTTGTTCTATTTAGTTATCTGTTTGATTTGTAGCTATCGGTTACTAGGTTTACAACATATAATAATGCTAACTAGTTTAGATATTGTAATTGATAAAAGTTATACAAGATTGCTTCAGAATCGAAAATAGAAAAACAATAAGATCTCTATAAAACACAAAATGAATTGATAGAATAAACAAACAGGTAAAGCATTTAAAGTGATTCCAAGTTCGAGGTCAGCTACTCTATCATTGTTAGCTAGGCGGCTGGCTCTGACGTGATCTGGATTCCCCTGCGATTTTAATGTCGCCGCCCGGCGAGCGTTGGGCGCCGCGACACGTACACACCGACTATGTAGAATCAAACAATGTCCTCAGCTGCACTTTCACTTGTTTGTTTACAAGTGTATGGCCTCAGTATTCAATCATTCACTAAAAGTCGATTGTCCAAAGATTCAATTGAGGAAGTCGGAAACTATGTTTAAATCGCATGTCTAACTAGCATTTTCTCTAAAAACATAACCAACATCTAACAAAAAAAGAAGAAAGAATATTTTCAACGTTCATCGCGTAATACCCGTGATTTGAAACAATCATATTTTTTGCAGACAATTTCGCCACAATCATCACCAGTCACGCGAGTGGAGAGTACCTACACACAACCATTCTAACTTTAGATACTTAATCCAAATATTTCTTCTAATGACTTTGTTAATGTGGGAGAAAAAAGTATGGAGTTGGGTTTTGTAAACGGCTGTGATTCAATTAGAGCCGGTCATAAAGTAGCATTTGATGAGAGAACAGAGCGGTCACTTAGTGAGATTTGTCTGATGAGCCGTGACAGGCTGCGACCATTATCCATAATAAATAGTTGCAGTGAGGAGCCGACTAGAGACTCCACTCCGTTATCCGTCACACTTCGAGCTGCGATCCGAACGGCAATAAATCAGTTTCGGTTTTTACTACACGAGAACATAATATCCGACTCTCGTGTTACAAATATCTTCGTATTGTATGTGTCATCTCAACTAGTTTATTATCATCGCTCATATTCTCCGTGTTGTGGGAATCAGGTAATTTATAGCATTTAGGTATTGATTTTTGTGTAGCTGGCATTATTTCTGTTTGCAGTATGAATCATAAACACACGTTATATTCGTTTAACTAAAGATAAAATATTTAAGTGTGATAAGACAGACCATTATTATTATTATTATTCACAAATGGTTAGCGATATACTGAAAAATGTATAAAGTAACTTGGAAAGGTAAGTTTGTGAGTACATAAAGTTTCATAATATTAGCTCGTCTCACACGAAGCTGACTGCTGAATATTTAATCGCACCCAGCATCGTGGTAAGTTGATATAAATTATGAGTTATGATGCATGCGCATTGTGGTTAATTTAGTTGAATTATGAAGGCGTGTGCTCGACCTTGAGCGGGACTCGCTTCGCTGCACCCGCCAGTTCCGGTCTCTCTGTCTCGGTCTAAATACACCACCACATGTGTAAGTCAACATCAATTACACAATATTAAGATATTCATGTTCATTATAATTGCAAACTTTCCACTTTATTGATCATAATTAGACCTTAAATTGCGGTTACGGAAGCGCAGCCATGAGCGCCATCATAAAGTGATGTCACTTTATGTTTTCCACTCAGTTATAATATGGCGCGACACATAAATTATGTTCAGTTCATGTCATTGTATTGTACCCATTAGATTAAACCATCAATGGATTTAAACATGAAGACTGATATTGAATCGTTGATGCAAGATAAGCCCTTTATTTTGAGATCGTGGTGAGCAACATTTTATCCAAAAAAGCTTTACGACTCTCTGTTATTTGTTAGTACTTTATTAAATACAAAGTCACTTTCTTTTGTATAATGCACATAGCTTTAAATAAGGGTTTTCATCATTGTATAAGGAAAGCAGGATAAAGTTATTGTGGTTCAGTTCATCCCATTATGCATAAAGAAACGGCACAGACATTTTTGTTTCGAGACAGCGGTACATTTCGGCAGCATCCTTTTAGTAATGTTATTTTCATGAGAAACCTTTTTTTATGAAAATATTTTGTGCGGTAATGCGAAATATCGGATGTGCCGCAGTCATGCATTAATGAGACTAACCAGTCCGACCTCGACCCGCCACCGGTCGCTGCCGCTGTCAAACCTGCGCTTACGAAATGAAGTCGCGTGAAAACTAATTAAACTTTGACCTCCTCACTTTAGTGTTATCTCGAACCGCCACCTTGATATCGAATAAACAACTATTAATAAGTCATCGTAGCCTTTAAGTACAGACAATATAAAAGTTGCCAAGGTGAGGGAAAAAGTTGTCTTGCCAAAAGGGAGACTGTGAACCATAAATAATGAGATGTAAGTTACGGAGGGTCATCTTTTTATGTCGATACTTTACGATCCCCAATGCGTCACAAACACCCGTTCTACTTTCACGCCGCATCTGCATAATTATTCGGATATCAAGGATAGCTGCTGGCTGCAGAGAACTACTCGATTACCGAGTGCAGAGTACCTACCAGGAATCGACAATGAAGAAACCTTTAAATCATGCTTATTCAATCTATAATACTTTTTTTATCGACCTCATGTTGTGTACATCTTGACTGTATGTTGTTGGATGGATGGATAGGGCCCACGCTCCGAAGGGGTCCTGGCCACATACCCAAGCAAGCCTTGGATTGGAATCCCCAAGGGAAAGCGTGGCTGTCCACGGCAAACCTGGCGTCGCACCGTACTGGCAGAAGCGACGAGCATCGGTATGACGTGGAGTGAGGTGAAGCGTGAAGCTCAAGATAGATCGCGATGGAGAACTTCAGTGGACGCCCTCTGCCCCATCTAGGGGACACAGGATATTAAATCAAGTAAGTCATGTTGTACAAAAAAAATAACATCAAACATTTTCATGTATACTTAAATAATTTACATGCTATTGAAATGCTCTAATAGATTCTCTGTGATTATTCTCAAAATAAATTCATTAAAGACTCATCAGAGTGACTATGTAGGAACAATGAAAATGGACACATTAACTTGTCAAGCTCGGTACCTAAACTAAGTATATGGCTATTAGAATGGCCGAAGTGATTTATGCTTGAACTCCGCTGGCAGGGGCCAGGTAACTCAATACGAGCACTTCTCGTCAAGGATACGTGAACATGTAGGTGATGTAGGTGGAGAGACCGGTGTGAGGCTCACTGCGTCCCCGGGGACCAAGTAATGTGCGGCGTACCTGGTCTTTACATTCAACACGCATTAGAGGGCGCGCCTCTCAACGTGACAGAGACACCGCCACGCACTAATGTGTACTCTAATTGCAATAATGTCATACACTGACCTTACAACACAATATTCATTATTCTCTTCAGTAACATGAGTAAAACTGCGCAGTACAAGTATCTACTGATGGCGTCACTCGTGCCCACCGACTGATGCCATCATCTGAACTGAGGACTGAGTCATAGTTCCGTGTGGCGCATGCCGCATGCCGCGGCGGCTCGCTTCATTTACCATCAGTTTGTTTACAAACAGACCTAACTGTGGTCAGCCGCTAGTTCGATCTATCAACGACCATTTCTAACAATCAGCGCCCACATCAACAGTTGAACTGTGTTCCAAATGAATAGTTTATCCACTTTGTTTAATGGATCATGGATGAGATAAGATCTCTTAATGCCACATTGTTATCAGGTGAGAGAACGTGCCGCCTACGTTAATAAAGATCGTAATCTAATTTTCTCAGAAGGTAGAAAGAAACTGCTCATGTAAAATGTCGCGCCAACTTTTACATGCGAACACGTTGTAACGTTACTGCTACGCTATGTAATTTATTCTAATTTCCCGTGGGTAAGCCTAATGACATCCGTAAAAGCTGTTTCAGTTCCTAACAGAATGTCTTATAAGAGACTTGAGGCAGTTTAACTTGAATTTTCTTTTTAAAGTATTAATTCGATTTCGCATTGATTTATTATGGTACTTGGGTACAATTTTAAGCATAATTTGTTTAATAATTTAGAAGGGAATTGCTTTGCTGCTTTAGCGCGACGCGGCGCGGCTGAGCCGGCCCGAGTGGAATTAATATCCACGCTACAGTACTAATTCTTATTGAAGAGGTAAAATAAGTTGACTCGTTATTTCAAGCTACATCTAAATATAGCTGCTTAAACAGAACAGTAACAAAGTGTTTAGAGAGAGGAAACAGGTAGAATTGAATCGTTGAATTTATTTCCCATCAGGAGCGGAGGTGGAAATGTAAAAGGGAAATGAATCGAGGTGCCAACTCTTACATTTTTCTATAAAGTCCTATATTTCAAATAAAAATCTGTTTCGCTTCGATAAGCTGTAGTACGATTACAAGAAGGAGGACCGATAACTGCAGTCAATGCTCAGTCTGATCTCAGGAGTACTACCGGGCTAAACGTACGCTTTTAGTATTTTATAATAACCAGAATTGGGTTTAAAACGTTATGAAATGATAGAGAGAAATAAATGCTGAATGCTTTCTAGTGCGACCTTCTTGCACGGAGTCTCTTTGTAAGAGGAAAATCTTTGAAAAGCTTTCAGGAAAATCCAATTAAGATTAAGGGCGACAGTAAATAAATATATATGTGACTGTATGGGCCATTCCATTGATTTAATGGAAATATTAAACGCAACAATATTCATTATCTTGAAGCCCCAACGAGTCTTTAATCATTAAACCACCTTTTCAATCCTGAATTAAATAAAATGGCTTCTGGAAACCGGGGATTAAAACCATACATGTTTACTTGTTTTGTGATTGCATGTTTCACGTGAACGGTACGTTAAATATCTAAATATTTTTCTAGAATATCCTGCAAAACCTGTTGAAGCTGTGATACACAAAATAAGCAGCAAGCCTGGTCTTATAATGGAGGAGTGAAGGCATCCTCTGTCCGCTAGACGACCTCATCCCGTCGCCATTGTATCACGACTGCCACTCATCAAATATGCAGACCATCTCCTGAAAGAACGAATAGTGGAACTACCCTCAGGCATGTCCATCCTCATAAATGTTGTTTATAGGTAATGTCAATCTAAAGCTGCCTGCTAAACTTGGCTCTCTTAATTGACACGATGGAGATACATGGCTTTGATAACGTACTTTGGGAAGGCAATCGTTTAATTAGGTACTGATCACAATAAATGAGATAGCCCTTTCAATACCAGTATCAGAAACAAACAATGGAACCATTTAGGGCGATAAAGAAAATATATTTATACACAATTTACTGAATTCAAATTTAGTCTCTCAACAGTTACGTACTATAAAAATAATAATCAATAAATTTTGCACAGACGTAGCAATTTTATAACTAACGGCCCGTAACGGTTCCCAAGTTTATGCTTTCTCACATAATTTTGTAAAACCTGTTTTCATTGTATAATTACTGTACTGGAACCGGTCAGGATGGATGCAGAAGGGGTTCAGGGCTACTTAACCTGTTCGGATATTTTGGTGGTAACATTTATGGGAACCGCTATAGTGTAAAATGTAACGCGGTATCATCGAAAAGGACACCTTAACCGAGAAAGATGTTTTTTATGTTACATTTCAATAATTCCTGCTCCAAAATTGAAAGCTTTTACTTAAAACATGTTTTTCTCCCTAAACAACAACAAAACGGTACGCCTGAAAATGTTGTTGCTTTTATTACTAATTTATTCCTACATTGAGCCGGTGCCGATGCCTGAAAATTAACAAGGTAGCTACTTAGACAGGTATCTTGCCTACTAAGGAAACAAAAGCTTAGCAAACCTTGGCAGGTACGTAGACGACCCCACTTGGGTAAGTGTGTCGGGCTTCTAATACAATATTTAGAAACTAATTTAAAATGTAAGCTAAGTATTAAACCTTTTTGGCTTTACGACCATTAACCATTTCTGTTGTTACGAGCTCTTTCATCCCACGCCGTAGAAAACCATTTCGCTACCGAGTGGGAAGCAACGAAATCTTCTATTCGCTTCTAAGGCTATCAAAATTAAAACGCTTTCACTAATTGATCAGTACTACAGTCGCTTGCATTAATTACAATAAAACGCTTGTTTACTTTCTTAATATTTATTTTTGAAGCTTTCTTCGTTTCTTGATCATCTAGAATTTAAATGTTTGTTTCCAAAACAAGCAATAAATAACGTAAATAATATGAAACTCTAACTACAAAACTGAATTTACTAGAAATTATCTACTATACATAGAACTCATGAGAAAACAAATAAGAAAACACAACAAGAGAACAAGTTACGAGTCAGCAAACCCAACTTACCCACACAATGTTTTGGTCCGGGCTATCGCGCGCTTAGCTATCAGGAATTAGAAGGCAAGTAGTCACCACAGTGCATATTCCCAAGGTAAACAAAGATTACGTAAACGCAATCCCACGCACGCACGTCACCCGATCGATTTTCAAACTTTCGAATACGCCCACTTAGATTTAAAGAAAGACTAAGTTAGACCTGTTCCAACAGCTCCACAACACTACATCCACAACACTATCTAACCAAGTCTTTGTGCCCTTGAAATCGTACAGGTTATGTTATCGATAAAGCACAACACGCGCACTGACAGTTGGAACAAACAATCACAGGTCAAGTTCGGAGCCGGTCGGCAGGACACCAGCGGTAAGGCTGGGAGAGCAGTTCATGTAATATTTTTAATGACTTGTCTCGTCCATGGCGTATCACGAAAGCTGCGATGTTTGCAAGGTTAACGAGCCCGTGTCGTAAGGCTCGGAGCAAAGTGCGGCACTCGTGGCCGTGGTCAGGCGCCGACTGAGCCGCGAGGGCGCCGCGGCTGCGAGTGCCGAGGATGAAGCCCCGCGCTCCGCCGACGCGCCGCCTGCCGCTTGCCGACAGTGCGCGCGCCTCTCCGACAAACAGCCTACCATAACATCCCAAAATATTTATTTTGATACAACATACGATGATATCACTGATACGGGATATTAATGACATCCTTGAAATTTTTTACTTACTTTTTATAAAAATTTCTTTACTAGAGCTTTCTTTCGTAGCACTGCTAGTTCTACGAAAATTAAAAAAAAAATACTTAATTTTTTTTTATACGTCTTTTTCTGCAGATCCCTTTTAATTATTAAAACTCCCTTTTAATTTTTTCATATGTAAATACGAAAATTATAATATTTTTAGATTTTAAATTGTCAATGTGTATTTGAATATTTTCATCAATCAATACTATACTAAAAGTTGAAGCTTGAAGCTTATCAGTAACACACACTCCTTGCATAATAATAGATGATAAATATCATTTGTTGGAAATTCTTCGATACAGCCGAGGAGGGTGGCGGGCAGGCGAGCCCGGCCTCTGGCGCAGGCAGGTGATTGAGTCTTTATCGCCGGCGACGGGACCCGAGGGTGCAACCTGCGTCCATGTCACTCTCACTTCCCCAACCATTTATCATAAACAGAATTTTCGAGAGTTCACTCAAGTACCTTGAGAGTAAAAGAAACAGGGGAATGTCAAATTGTTACGTACAATCATTTGATAAATTTACGACTGCTCTTGATACTCAACAGCTCCACTGGAACGAAATATGGAAAAAAATCAGCAGTAACACTTACCGACAACAATGGGCTGTTTAAAACAAAAATAACTCATTCTTTCGACTGCCATAAAATTTAACGTTAGTGTTTTGTGTTTGTTGCACCGAAGAGAAATGGGTGGTGCTTAATGGCAGGTAGGGTAAGGTAAGAGGGAGGCAGGTAGCTGAGTAGCGAGCGAGTATCGTCTGGCCGCAGCCGCAGGGTAGCCCACTAACCCGCGGGTTCCGAGAACCGCGGACACGCACCAGACACGGCCCA